TAAGGACCATCCAGTTGTTTACAAAAGAGTGTGCCTCTGTCTTTGGGGTGGAGGGTGGGTGTAGTGACTGATGGTGCTCAGAGAGGCAGCTGCCGCAGTGGCAACCAAGGAGGAAAGCCCAGGCAAAATCTTATGCAGGTCTTAGACACTAGACAAAAATCACTTTGTCAGAGAAGGTTATGAGCCTGTTTTATACTTGGCTTTCTCCAAGACTGCAAACAATAAAAGTTTTGTTGTTTTATTTATGATTACTCCCTATTCCCACCTGATTTTCTGGTCCACTTGAAATCCCAATTGGTATGTTGCCATTTATAACTGGGAAAGTTAAAATAGAAAGGGTTTTTAAATAACTGAATACAGAAAATACTGTAATTCTGCATTTTTTCCTGCATGTAGTAGGCCCTCAACAAATACGCTCCAGAGCACATGGCACGTACTGGATGCCTTTTGCATACCAGCTAGCTTGCAAGCCACAGACAGGTTGGCTTTGTTTTCAGTGGAGAGGTGTGATAAGTGATGTTAAAGCCTAAGGTTGCCTTTTTGTTTTGTTTTCTTAGCTCATTGTTTTTGTTTTATATTTAATCCATGATTATTTGACTTCTTTGCCACTTTACAGCTGATGACTATAATTTATGCCTGCTTGTAAATATTTACTATACCTGGCCTTATACACTGAGGGCTTTTTCAGCATAGCTTTGAGACTTCTCTGTGGCTCACAACATAGTGTTCCGAAGCTATCTGTGCTGTGTCTGAACTTGACTTCTGTACCCAGATAGCCCTGCTGTGACACTCTGCTAGTAATGCCAGAAAGTATAATACAGTGGTGAAGACTGGGGCTCTCAGCTACAGACTCGGGCCCGTGCCTCTGCTGTCTGGAGCCCTCCGGCCCTGAGTGTATTGTTTATCCACTCCGCACCACCCTTTCCTTATGCGTGATATGGAGCTGATGGTAATCCTCTCCTCGTGGGGGGTTAGGAGGACTCATTGGGTGTTCATATAATGTATGGCAAGTTGCCAGACACATTATAAGTACTGAATAAGTGATGAATATTACTCTTTTTAATTTTAGAGAAATTAAAAGCAGTCTGCATTTAGTTTTGTGTTCTCTGGTAGTTATTCCCAGTCCATTTTGTTAGCTTGAGAAAGTATATATAAATATGAAATTAAATACTTCATATAGTATTTTATTTTCAAATATTACAATTGTAGGTATAGTTAACTTTGACTTATGCATAATTTATTTATCCATTTTGTTTAAACTTTCTCAAAACAATCATGTCCTCTGATCATCTTTACTGCTCCATTACTTTTTGTTACTACTGGAGAAACTGCTTAAGCCAGTCCCCTTAGATGGCTCCAGAACAGTGGTGGGCCCTTTAAAGGCAGAGACAGAGAAGTCAGCTCTGCCTCATGCAGAGGGAGTGCACGCTGTTCAGTAAGAATTAAGCAAGATGGGGAAACACTACATTGCATCTGTGCCATCCTTACAGAAACCCTACAGATAGCGTCAGCATTATTCTGTTTTATAAATAAGGGAAATAATTATTCACCAAGTTAAGCAACTTGCCTAAATTCACACACATAATAAGTGACTACTAGGCCAGCATTATGATCTACATCTAATCTAGATCCTAATCTAGATCACCTGATTCCAAATCCAGTTTCCATAGATACCATTTGCCTTTGTCTTAACCTTCCCTGAATAAGCTCTTGGAGTGTCGCTTCACACTTGATTATTACAGCCTGTACATACTTGATTTCAGGTAGATCGACACCAAAACTCAGTCTTTTTAATCTTACACTTTTCTTCCCATTTCATTGCCCTGCTCTGAGAAGGAGGAGTATGCTGGAGAAGGAACAGTAGTGTAGATGAGTTTTTCAAGATCAACAAAATTTTATTGTAAAGATCAAAACTAAATTCTATTCTGTCAGATCCCGGCTATTTTGTTTTTTAAACAGTTTGTATAATTCTCTTTGGCCTACACTAAAGTAAGCACAATTATTCAAAAGGGACTTAATACTTAGCATACATAATTGTAAGTTAAAAGTGCTCTAAAAGTATAAATTTTCATTAATTAGAGATTAAGGCAGTAGGCTTTAGGGAAGGTAAAACTTTACCCCTACTCATTTAGGTTTTCAACTGGCATTCTTTTCCGGATTAACAAGAGAAAAACACACAAGTTTATCAATGTGTATACCTCATGTGTACTTGGAAGATACTCAGGGAAAAACCTCTTAAAGAGATGGTTTTAGAATTTAGGATTAAATAACCATCTTATTAGAGAAAGGGACAGGGCCATATAGTCCTCTTAGGGGGAAAGTAAATGATTTTTAGGAAGATGAATGGGCCCTTAGAAGAATAGATGGAAGGAATGATAGTTTGTGACAAAGCTTGTCCTGGGGGGTTTAAGAACATTGAATTCCTTTTGGAAGTTTTATCTTTAGGCAGATAGGGAGAGTTCAGAGAAAGCCTCTCCCTACATTTGCTGTTTTTCAAGTGCCTACAGCTCAAAATAATAATATACCAAAGCATCATTATTTTGACCTGGCATGTCCTGAACTTCTATAGCCATATTTCAGGGTGTCATGTTCTGCTGCCCTTCAGAGCTCAGACTCGTTTGCCATTATATCCTAGTGCCATTGCCTGGCACAGTCTGTGTGTCCAGGACTTAGTAGATGCTTAGGAAACATTCATTACATTCAGTGACTAGATGGATAGGTGGGTAGACAGATGGACAAATGAGCGGAGAGATGGATGGATGAATGGGTGAGAGAAGTGAGAGAAAAAGTATTCTTAGCTCCTTCACTTGTTCCGTAAGTAGAATATTATTGTTCTTTGGCTTCTTATGTATTTTACAGCTTCTGATAGCTTCAAAAGTTCTGTCACATGGTAATAACATAGGATTGTTTCTCTGGTCCCTCCAAATAAATACCTATCTGTATCAGACTATCTTAGAGACTTGGTTACACTGACCTTCCCAGCTACTTAAAATTACTAGCAAAGAGTAATAATACAAACTACCTTTCCATTTGCAATGACTATTTGCATCATCCATTATTTCATTTGATGTTCAAAACAATGGCCTTTCAAAACAATGCTAGAGTACAGACCCTGCACCTAGACTTCTTAATTTCAAATCTTGTTCCACCACCAAATCACTGTGTGATTTAAGCAAATGACTTAACCTTTCCAAACCTGTTCTCTTATCTGTTAAACAGGGATAATGGTTGTACCCTTATAATAAGACAGTCATAGGAATTAAATGAAAGAATGCAGGCAGAGGCCTTGGCATAGGGCCTGGTCTCAGAAAGCCTTCACTATTCCATTGTCTCCACGGCACTGTAGTAGTGCCTGCTGTTGCCCATCTGCCCTCTGTACTTTAGGGTAAGACTGGTTTCTTAATCTCTGCATCCCCTCTTTACATAGGGCCTGTCATGGATTAGGTACTCAACAAATAATTATTGGACTAGATGATGGAAGCAGATATTTTTCTTTTAAATCAGAAAGTTGTTTTCCAGATGACTAAACTCAGAGAGGTGAGCAGCTGCTGTGAATTAGTCACATAGGTTATCTTCAGGCATTTAATCTTCAGGCAACTTTATGAAAGGTACAGATGGTGTCCCAGGATCCAAACCTACATTTCTAAATCCTGAGCCCAGAACCATTTCTACAAAACTCTCCTGCCTCTCTTATAACATATACGAGAATTCTTCTAGGGTCAGTTACTAATATATAATCATTGCAGCATTTGGGCCAATAACTTGGTAAGTTATAAAATGACTTATTTTATAATAATGGTTGTCTCAAGTTTTATATTTCTTGTTAGATCTCAAAACTCTGCATGAAAATGTGCTATTGTCAGTAGCCTAGCTTTTGGAATTCTAGAGAAAAAAGGACAACAGGTAACTGAATGTGAATGTCACAGAATGAAAGAGTAAGAAGAGTCTGAACACATATAGAAAGGTTAGGATAAGTGAGCGCTTTACAAATGAAAGCAGATGTATGAAATTACAAGTTGTCAGATCAGCCATGGAAATGAAGATGATAAAGTGGTTCCTCACATAGATCATAATTATTCATGTTGCCCAGTCCTTTCTCCTTTCCCCATAATGTTCATGAGAAGGGGGAGGGAGTGGTTTATTTTGTGCTTTGTGTTGTATCTGCTGTATTTTCCTATGGAATATTTTCAACTAACTGTTCTGGTTAATGAAAAGGAGTCGCTTGCAGCCACAGGAAGTTGTATGTGGGAAGTTTCCTCCCAGCCATTGTTGTGGAGGCTGCCAGTGTAGCCTGCAAAAGCAGCACCATTAGTGGGCCAGTGGCAGAGGCAGATGGATGGCTAAGAAATGAAGCAGTTTACCTAGACCTACTTGAGAAGATGTGTTTAATAATTGCTCTCATAATTAGACTGATTTGGAAAAAAGAGAAGTCTAAGGAGCATAGGTAGGCTTATCTGTGAAGATTTTGAGTTTTCCTTGAAGAAATGCACAGATATTCTCCCTAAATTCCTTGTTATCAGGAAAACAAATAATTTGAAGAAATTTTATTTTACTTTGAATAATGTAATGTTTATGTAAATATGACATGCATAAGTTAGAAAGCATAATAATCAGGGTAAATTCTATTTTGTGAGAATTTTAAGCTAGTTCTTTCCCATTAGTAAGATTTTTTTTTTTTTACTAATTTCTAAGCAGTATAACTAGAGACATTTAAACACAACTATATAAATGGCAATAAATATGCATGCTTCTAAGACTTTATTTATATTGCAAATGCACACACATATCTATACGTGAGGCTCTTCCTTCCAGTACCCCCTAAGGATGAATGTTCTACATTAGATCGCAGCTAACAGTGCAGTATGCTGCTTCAAGGGTGATTTCCTTTTATCTAATCAATTGAGCTATTAGTTTGCTTTCTTTAAGTCTAAGTTGTTATTTTTTTACTCTCAGTAATCTTCAACAGTATTGCTTCTGAATTTTTTTTCCCTCTTATTTAGTGATCTCTAGTAACTACCAGACGTGTCTTGGCCTTCTGATGCATTACCCACTAATTGGGGATGTACACTCACTGATTCTTAAGGCTCTGTTCCTTCGAGATCCAAAGGTAAGCTTTCTGAGTAGGATATATGCAATTTTAGATTGGGTGAAAAACTGGTTTCTCTGTATGACTCCCAAGAATCCCTAATGTGGAATTTGTGTAATGGCAGATGCACTGCCTAATAAAAGAATTTACCAAGAGTTGTAGGCCAAAACTCACACACCTCACTGGCTAGTCACTCAGCAGACTAGGTGGGCATCACCGTGAGAAACTGGAGTACACATCTCTTGTCCCTCGGAAAGTTGTTCTGCTCTCTTGCCTTCCCTGTAACTCAGGGAGGAGCTGAGCAAGTGACCTCCTGACAAACCACATTTGATTATCATTGGTGCCCTTGAGGGGCCAACTTATCCAAGCAGGCCTCAGGGGCTATGTGAAAAGCAAGACATTAGAACTACGAGAAGGACCAGTTCTACAAGAGTTCATAGAAGGAAACACTAAATTAGTTCACATTGTCAATATGTATTACTATTTTGTAGATGAAGAGTAACCTAATAAAGATTTAAATAGACTCTAATGTTGATTTCTCTATTTGAACTTAGAGTAAGTCACCAAAATTTTCTTTACACTTAAGAGAAAAAGTGTGCTCTTTTACAACTAATGTTATATTTCTTGAAAATAAGAACATTTAATTATCTAAAAAAATCTGTGAATCCTTGATGCTTTTGAGCCAAACACAAATATTGGATGAAGTGGAACAGAGAAAGCTTCAAACACAAGTATGAGAACACCAGGCACTGGTTGGTAATCCCAGCCTTTGGCTCTTTGGCAAAGCTCCCAGCAGTCATGCTGGCAGTTGTCGAACTGTCTTTGCGTCAGTCTGTCTGTGGGTTCCGTTGCCAAAGCTCTGTCTCATCGACTGGGTCTCCAAGTTCAATATAAATTTTGATTCTAAAAGATTTCTGCTTTTTCCTCGGTTGTTGACTCTGACATTTGAATATGTCCTCTATTTATTCTTTGATTGATTTAAAATTTATATTTTCTTTTGCTTATATCCATTTTCTGCAGAGATGCACAATTCTATACCACTTCTCCTACACAAAATTTCATTATCAAATATAATCCATCCTTTCTTTCTCTGATACATAAAGTAGCATTTTTTTTTATGGTAAGGTTTAGGAGCCTGTCTATGAAAACCAAAGGTCCCATGTTTTTTTGTCTGTGTATATATGTACATGTTCAGTTGTATAAGTATATATTTTTTGTGAAAAATAACTACAACTATGAAATATCTTTAAAAGGAATAAGGAATGAGGTTGCTAGTCAACAAGGTATATGAGTTTTGGCTTACAAATGAGGTAGATTCTGTCAACTCAGCATTAGGAATTCTTAGAATCATACAGGATGGGAAGAATTGCTAAAATAGTCATATGAATTCTTTACTTGTATGATGTGTTTGGTTTTATTGAAGGGAGAAATGAATATGTTATCTAAACCTTGATTTTGGTAATGTTTCCCTAGTAAATATGGTTGATTGTCCTAAGAATTATTCACTCTTCTAGTTGCAGAATTCTATATATTAAATCCATCAACATTACTAATACTTTTTAATTTTAACAGAGTACTTTTTATCTTAATAAGATAAAAATATCTTTAATCAAGATTTTAATGTAGTACTTTTTGTTTCAATAACTTAGTGTACATAATGTAAGGGTGTAATGAAACCAGTCCTACACAAGCATTAAAAAAATGTGTTCTCTGAAGTTGAAGAGAAAAAAGTAATAGCCTAAGTATCTAAAAAAAGGCATTCCTTACTTTTGCATTCAGGGTCTTACCAAGTAAAAACATATAATGATCCAAAATATAGGACATTAAACTGATATTTCTGAAACATGACAAGAGGAGGCAGTCATGTTTAAAAGGCTCTTGAGAACAAGTCCATGGATGGTGATATCTATAGGAAAAAAAACAAAGAAAGCTGTAGAGTAAGGGGCTTTCATATGGCTAACCTAGCAAGGTGGTAGTTTTAGTTAAGTGTATAATGGCTGACCCACTTACAAATTATTCAGTGAGTATCAAATGATAACTAATGTCACTTGGCAAATGTAGTGTCCAGCAAGAAGCCTGGGTTAGGAATTGGGACACTGGGTCAAATCTTATTTCTGTTACCAGCCATCCTTGTGATTAAGGGAAACTCATTCTTGCTGAATCCTTGGTCTTCTCTTTTGTGGTTGAATTAAATTGTCTCTAATGATCTGCCCAACTGGAGCACCCTTTCTCTATGAACAAACTGACTTACAATTGATCTAATGAGATCAATCCAGTACTACAAGAAAAAAACACCAACAAGTTTATATGTATTATAGAAATCCACAAATGGACAGAGTTTTTTGTGTAGTAAATGTCAATTATAAAGTCACGAAGAGGCCATTTATGCTGAAAGAAAAGAGAGGGAAGAATGAGGCTAGGAGCCCAACCTTATCCTCTCAAACTTCAGGCATCCCAGTGCTTTAAATGTTTTTTTTTAATTAGCAACAATGAAACGCTTAAAATACTTGAACCATTTCTGATTCACGTAGGTGGGAGTAAGTGTATAAATACACAAGCCTCTACAAGGTAAACTAGTAGACTGAAATTTGAGTAATCAGACGAGCAGACTGGTGAGCTTTGGGGCATGAAAGTACACTCTTCCCAGGCCCAGCTTCCTATGCGAGAAGTGTTGAGTGCTGCTGACTGACTCAGTAAAATAAAAATAAAAGGAACTCAGCCCCACAAAGTTCATTGTGAGCTTCAGAAAAGCACTTATCTTACCACTGTCCCTAAAGCCCAGTGGTGATTGCTCACTGGAAACTAGACACTGCAAATAGAGCCTGAGCATTAATTATTTTGTATCAGATATAGACTTTACTGTGAAAAGATTACTCAATTGAACAGACTGAAATAATGGGCCTGTAAACTATAATAATTGGATCATACTCCTTCACAGTTTCTAAGCACTTTGATGTGCTTAATTTGGTCTTAACCATGAGCAATGAGGTAGGCCAAGCAGGTTAACTTTACTCATTCTTTTTCTGTGCAAAGTGAAGGTTATGTGGCTTTCCCAAGGCCAAAAAGCTTGTAAGCTTTCAAGCTAGCTCAAGTGGCTTTACAGATCTATCTTTACAGATACTGACTCCCAGGATCAGATAGGACAGGTTTCCCTTTAGAATCTCACAGCACCTTAGCTATTTGCATATTTATTTTACCAATTATTCCTCCTTGTGTTCCTGCTCATTTTTAGAATTAAGCTTTGTGTCCTGCCTTGGTTGGTATTAAGAAAAAAATGGCAGAATTGAATTCTGACTCAAATAATAAGCCTCTTCCAAAATACCATACTGAGTATAATCGAGGTGGATCTCACTTATGAGCATGTTTCTGGAACCTATATCCCCATTCCACAGAAGCCATAGCCAATTCTATATTTATCAGCTGCCATTTTTATCAAGATGGTGAATTAACCCTACAACTTGAACTCGAGGACATCTAGTTCCTTAATTTGCTATATGCCAGAATTATTTGAAAATCTGTTACCACCTTCAAATATTATGGAACAAAGAAGACATAGCAAAGAGCTTAATTCATATGCTTCAGTTAGACTGTCAGAATTTCAGAACTGCAAAGAGCCAGCTCCTCCTTCTGCAGATAAAACTAGCCGAGGCTCCAGGGGAAGCTTAGAGACTTTCTCAGGGTCTCACAGCTTGTCAGTGCAAAGCAACAGCTGAAGTCAGGTCTTCCCAACCACCTTTTTCACACAAAAACTGTAGCTTCATTAGTTTTTAAAATAGTGTAATCCTAGTTACTGTAACATCTCACACAAATTCTTCTATTTGTAATAGCTAGTAATTTGCATCTGTAATAAATGAAATTGCCATATATATGTGACATTTCAAAATTTGTTTAGATGTATGCTATATGAAGAGAATAGATGTCAAATGTCTCTTGGTAGCATCCTATACTCTGTTCAACCGTAAATATGTTTTCTATACTTAGATCTTCACACCACAATCTTAATTCTCATTTTCTTGTCTTTATCATATTAGAGCCACTGAGCAGATTTCCAAAAACAATCCACTAAATGAAGTAGAGGGATAGAAGGAGGGCAGTGTGAAAAATATGAAGTGATTAAAAAACATTGTTCTAACTAGTTGTTCAAATTCAAAAAAAATTTAAAAACCCAATTAGAAACAAAAGTCATAGAAAATGTGAACATATTGTGTTCCTTAAATAACCAGATGTTCTTTCTTTCCTGAAGGCAGTAAGGGCTAGGAATAAAAGGTTTAAAACTATTGTTTTAACTGTGAATTTTGCAAATCTGTTTTTACCCTTTAGCAAATAAAATTCTAATACAGAAACATAAGCAAAGTAATTTTCATTTTTTGGTGCTCTGTTATTTGTGTTTTTTGTTGAAGTGTTAACCTTATCACAATGATTCATTACAAATGAAATACAGTACGTGGATTAACACTTTAGATTATATAGTAAGAATTTGACAGCTACCATTTGTTTTGATAACTAGAATATTCCTCAAAAAATATTTCTGATAAGTTTGCTGGCAACCCTCTTAGCAGTGACTGTTATTGCTTATGGGAGAAAATCACTAGAAATAAGACAATTTAATTTCATAGTCATTCTTGTACACAGAAACACGCTATAAAAATTTAGTGTACAATCTTCTTATGCTTGGCCAATACTGATCTGGCTTTTGTTTGGAGTTATATTTGAAAAAAAAAATTTGTCTTTTAAAATTATAAAATGTCTGAATATTCGGATTTGGGATTTTATACAGTAATAGGTGTTTGCTCTTTTAATTCCAAAATACCCCACTGCACATGCAACTTCTTTAAATGTCATGTCTATGGTTAAATGTCATATATCAGAATTGAAAAATGGCAAATGGATATGAGCCTACCACCAGCCAGGTGATAATGTTAGAAAATGTTCCACTCCAGCAATGCCATTGTAACCTCTTCTCTGAGCAGTAAAAAAACGTAAAAGCCACACACACTGACTCTTGAAGGAGGTGCCCCCTC